GATATTTGCAAATGACATATTCGACAAAAGGCTAGTATCCAAAATCTATAAAGAACTCACCAAACTCCACACCCGAAAAACAAATAATCCAGTGAAGAAATGGGCAGAAAACATGTATAGACACTTCTCTAAAGAAGACATCCAGATGGCCAACAGGCACATGAAATGATGCTCAAAGTCATTCCTCATCAGGGAAATACAAATCAAAACCACACTGAGATGTCACCTCATGCCAGAGTGGCTAAAATGAACAAATCAGGAGACTATAGATGCTGGAGAGGATGTGGAGAAACAGGAACCCTCTTGCACTGTTGGTGGGAATGCAAACTGATGCAACCACTCTGGAAACAGTGTGGAGGTTCCTCAAAAAATTAAAAATAGATCTACCCTATGACCCAGCAATAGCACTGCTAGGAATTTACCCAAGGGATACAGGAGTGCTGATGCATAGGGCACTTGTACCCCAATGTTTATAGCAGCACTTTCAACAATAGCCAAATTATGGAAAGAGCCTAAATGTCCATCAACTGATGAATGGATAAAGAAATTGTGGTTTATACACACAATAGAATACCACTTGGCAATGAAAAAGAATGAAATATGGCCTTTTGTAGCAATGTGGATGGAACTGGAGAGTGTTATGCTAAGTGAAATAAGTCATACAGAGAAAGACAGATACCATATGTTTTCACTCTTATGTGGATTCTGAGAAACTTAACAGAAGACCATGGGGAGGGTAAGGGAAAAAAATTTAGAGAGGGAGGGAGGCAAACCATAAGAGACTCTTAAAAACTGAGAACAAACTGAGGGTTGATGGGGGAGTGGGATGGAGGGGAAAGTGGGTAATGGGCATTGAGGAGGGCACTGTTGGGATGAGCACTGGGTGTTGTATGGAAACCAATTTGACAATAAATTTCATATTAAAAATTAATTAATTAATTAATTAATTAATTAAAAATGATGATTTTCAATGTCATTGTGAGAAATTATATGCTTAAAATGGAGAAAAAAGATCATGAAGTAATTTTTATTTTAGAAAATGTGTCAAGGCACTAGATATCTTTTATTTGTCACTTTTTGACTGGGAATTCATACTCTTCTTACTGAAATCTTGCTGCTGGTATACACTCTGTGATTGTTTTAACCATTTTTATCAAACTGCCAAGACTATATGTAGCTTCCCCATCCTATAAAAAGTTCTGTTACAGACATGCACTGGGAAAAATGACAGGGTGCTTCTCAGGACTGTGAATAATTGCTGATATGAAATGATATAGTCCATTATAGCACTTGGCCAACTGTTGACCTTTCTTAATACTGAGACTTTGAGTCTGGGTCAGTGAGGTTCTTTCAAATATTTCAACATGAGATGAGGGGTAATCCTTGTCATAATTAGGGCTCTGGTTTCCCATTTGTGTGCCAGGAGCAATGTAATTTGGCAATACATAAATACACAAAATGTGTTCCCTGACGCAGATGCAGAAATCTCATTTTACTTTTCAAATATGTCAGGCAGAGGTATAAGTTCGGATTCAAAGCCTTCAGGTGATCCTTCCACTATAGTGTATGGTTCTCAACATGCGTCAGAATACTTCGAGGGCTTAATGAGACAGATTGTTGGGCCTTGACCACAGAGTTTCTGATTCAATAGGTGTGAGGCGGGAGTGAGCATTTGCATTTCTAACAGGTTTCCAGGTGATGCTGATACTGATGCTCCAGGAAGCATATCTTGAGAATGACTGCTGTAATGCTGTCTTTCTCAAAGTCAGATTCTCAAATCTCAAGTTCCTCAAGTCAGAACCACCTGGATTGCCTGGCAATCTAATCCTCAGATTATCAGGATTTATGTGGTGGTCTACACCCAAATCTCCAATGCGGTATGACAGTGATTTGCCTTTGGTCAAGCTCCTCAGGTGCTCATTCACATTTGAAAACCAGTTAGAAGGGAGGTCCAGGGAAAACACTGATCATGTTTCCTCTCAAGAATTACCAATTTATACCTGTGGGTTGGCATCTAGCAGTTGTTTTTATTATACATAGTAAATGAATGAATTAATGAAAATGAATGAATGCAAGCAATTAGTTGCTACTCCTTGTTTGCTTCCAGCACCTTTTCTTTATTCTACTATAGAATATATCATCCATAATTTAACTACTTGCTTACTTGACTGCCTCCATCTAGACAGAGACCTTCTCTTTTTGTTGTTTTTCCAGGGCCAACCCCAGCATTTGGCACATAATATGTACATCATCAGTATTTGTTAGATTAAATGATTGTAAATGTTGAGTAGAATATCTCTTAGAGTTAGTCTGAAAACTGAGCTAGAAAAGCCATAGGCAAGTCTGAAGGAGTGGGGTGGTACCAAGATACAGCATTAAGTCAAGTGTCTGGAACATAAAATATTACTTAAGATTAGTGTATATATGAGGTGTAGTTGGAACAAGTGACATTTCAGAAGTGAAGAGAGTAAGTGGGGGATATAGAAATGGATAATGTAGGTTTGATGAAGCTAGTTTGTGCTGAGAATTTTGTGGGTGGTCAGAAATGAGGACATTAAAGGATGTAAAAAAGGGCCAGAACACACAGATGAAGTTACGGCACTTCCTTCATCCCAAATTAACCTTGACAAATGAATTCATTTGTTAGTCTAGCAGCAGTTACCCTTTTACCTTTCAACGCCAGGTAGC